CTCCTACCTTGTCATATGGCTTGATGTACACACCGTGCATGACCAATACACTCAGCCATACATCTATTTTGTTGTGTGTCTGGGCACACAGACCTGGATGAAGAAAGTTGCAAGAGGCTTGTGTAGTCCAGCAATGTCTGGTCCCAGGCAGAGGAGGGGAATGGAGGTGTTAAGAATGGAGGCTACTGCTCCAAATAAGATCCACTGCCCATTTCATGGCTGCAAGGAGCCTGAGGACTGGGGGAAAGCCCTGAAAGGAGCACTCTTGGGACCATATTTAGCTCAGGAACATAATGCTGTACTCCCTTTGCCAGTCTTGCAGTCTGGAGAGAGAGGACGTGCACTGTTGGTAGATTTAGGCTGCTACTTCATCCCAGCTGGTAAGGCAGAGCTGTGGCCATGGCCCAGCCCATCTGTGATTATTTTCTGCATGAAATAACTCAACAAGGCAGGGCTTATTAACATTTGCTACTTGCCTCTAACTGAGGTTGGACCCATGCAGGGCGAGGCGAGGGGACCACGAAGCCACATGTCTCTTACTGTGCTAGGGGACAACTGGTGCATCTCCAGCACGTCATGTTGGGCCAAGGAACCCGACTAGACCCTGTCTGAATACATGACCCATGGCTGCTCTCCCTGGGGTGGCACCTGCTGTCCCACCTCTTGGCAAGCAGCTGGAGAACCTCCCTAGCCAGCAGGGTCTCAGTTGAGCATTTCAAACTAAAACAAATATCTTCTGGCCAGAAGTTTCTGACTTAGCAGCTCTGAAGGAGGATGTCGAACCCACTCTGATTTTGTGCTTTTGTGTTCAATTGCATCTTCCAATCCATTTTGGGGCCTAAGGTCCAAGCCTCCTAGAGGGTTGAGCTGGGGCCAGGACTCAGGGTCCCCTGGGGGCTCAAGGTAAGGAAACCTCTCTGTGATGGTAGGAATGAACATCTGCACATGCATGCCATGTGTGTCCATGTGAGATGTCCCCATGTCCTTCTAAGTGTTTACTGAGGACATGCAGTATATATCTAGAAGTGTATTTCTAGGCAGTTTCATTTTCCCCACTCCCAGCTACTACAGGTGCAGTTCTGAGGAGGGGCTCATGTCAGGATCCTTATTTTAGGCTTATCTTGTGTGTCTGTGTGTGTGCTGGAATACCTTAGAGCTGCATCGACTCTGTCCCATAGAGAAGCATAGGGGACCACCCTCTTCCTCACAGACCAAAGGTGAAGGTACAGCTTGGGAGACTTTATTTCTTCCTTGACTGCTGATAGGTTTCCTACAGGAGCTTCTACCTCATCAACTGAGTGTGTGAGTCCTCTAAGGAGCACTCCAGCCTATGGGGTTGGTATAGACACACATCCCACATCACCTCTATTCCTCATCTCCTCCTTACTCCCCCACTGAGTTCCCACCCAAAACCTCCTCAGGAGACAGTAAGGCTCTCGGTTGGGTCATACCAATGCATCTTCCAAACTCTCTGAAATGCTGGTACTAATCAGTAGAAGGAACACTGCAATAAAAATGGGCTGATTTGGTGAAGAGGAAGGAGGGTGAGGCTGAGAGGGGAGAGCGTGTGGACATGAGATCAATTGCTTTTCCTGGCATTAGTTGTATCTAGGCCACTCTGGCTCCTCCAAGGTCTGTAAAAGCGAAACCAGAAGTTGGAATAGGGTTGCAGATGAAGGAAAAGGAGTGGTTTGGCGGAGATGAGTGAAGTTGTTGCGTGAGTGACTGAAAGGTTGAGCGGTGAGGCCCCTCCTGAAGAGTTAGAGGGCTGCTTGCTCCTCTATGCAGGGAGAACGAGAAGGTGAGTGACCATCACATGTTACAAACAGTGGCAGCAAAGCCTCACAGCCAAGAGGTGAGGTAGGACTGAGCCTGGGTTCTTGCTGCCTCAGCCTCCCTAGGGTGGCCTCTGCCAGGGACACACACAGGGGACGTGCCACAGAAGGCTGTGGCTTGGGCCACCCATGGCCCAGCAAACATCAGTATCCAGAGCTGATCCCTGTGAATTTGTCCTCCTGACTCAGAGGGAGATGTGGGGAGTTAAGCGTGAGATAGCTTGGCTTTTCTGCTAATGGTGGCTGACAAACAACATTTTAGTTCCATGCTAAAATTCCCCTTATAGCTGTTTATGGAGTGGTTTATCCAACACGGTTTCTCCCAGGGGGAATCCTTTCCTTTCTACCACTTTTGGCTCGGAGGATTCCATGGGGACAGTTGTCCTTCATCCCATTGTGGAAAATGAAGAAGGTAACTGTTTCACATGTGGTGCATGCAGCACAAAACAAAAGACCAAAATGGTCCTAAGTTTCACAAGGAGAAAGTCAGAAGTGAGTACCACAGTCTCACCTTTGGGTCTCACTCTGCTCCAAGCACAAAGCTGGTTATTGTAAAGTAAACCTAACTCTAATATGTGACCTGGAAATGAGATTAGGGGCTTTTCTGTATCCAATATGGTTTTGGTTAAGTGGGAGCAGTGTTTGAGCAGTGAGCAGGAGCTCAGTTTAGGTCTGCATTTCCAGTTCTGGTTTGCACAATAGTACTAATTCTCAGCCTCAGCAGCCCAAGCTTGGCAATGTCTGTGCCCTGTTTTTCATATGACACATCACTTCTGCTGTAACTTGAAGCAACATTTTCTGCATTTCTATGGCACTGCTGCCTCAAGTGTGACCCAGGAATGAGTTTGGTGGGACTTGGCAACCAACTGTTTTAAATGAAAGGCATAAAACTTAAGATATTGCAACTCAGTGGTGGAGGGGAAACTGTAGTGAAGATATGGAAAGTTTAGAATGACATCCGCTATAAAAATGGCAGGGCTGAGAGGACAAAGCCAAAGGGTAGAACTACTTACATCTTCAGTCACTTTTAAGGTATCATAGTTAACAAAATGGGCTCCATTTTAAAAGTTTGCTTTAAAAAGCTGCTTAAGTGTAGCACTGTGCCTGTTTCATTCAGCAATGTCTCAGTGGCACAGAGCCACTGGGGAATTTTGACCATTCCAACTTTGGATCTGCAGGACAGATCGTTAGTGAATAGCATGAACCCACACAAACTATTACCTGTTGTTCTTTGCCACTGTTCAACAGAGTAATTAGTAGCTTTTAGGGATTTTTTTTCTTTTTAATGCACTTGTTGCAATAAGAGAGGAAAGCAAGATATGGAAACTATAAGATTGAGAACCAGTTGTTGTCAAGAAGGGGAAATCCAGGAGAAATGAGACCCTTCAGAGTGAGTGTGGATCCTGCTGCTCCCAAGGAGCACCTTGGTGTTTCGGAGCCTGAACTGACTAGCAGAATATGTTTCTGATATTTGGAGAGGGCTCACAAGGGCTGAGGAAGTGAAATGCCTTGCTTTGATAGAGTTGGTGCAGAGTTCTTAAAACTGGAAGAATGGGAATTCACTAATTTTATCTCTGAACAGTCTCTCAGACACCAGTAACCCAGACTTCCAGGTATCTGGCCCTAACATCAAATACTGTTGATGTTCAGACTTGACAGTAATCCTGATATGGTAAAGTTTGTGGCTGATCTTGCACACAGCCACCAGCAGGACTCATGCCACGCTGCATCAGAGCTAAGAGGGATTCGCAGGACACTTGGCATCGACTTTCTATATGTCCTCCATAGAAAAAGAAACACACAAAGACACCTGCCACATTCTTTTGTCTTTTTTTTTTTTTTAATTATTCCTTCATATTCAAACTTCACAAACAGTGTGAACTTGTACAATACCTCAGAAAGTGAAACTTACAAAAAAAGTGCTGGTAACATTAAAAAAAAAAAAAAACAAAAAACAAACATCATTCTTAGCAACATCAATTACTCTTCCACACAAAACAGAAACCTTGTAAAATTTATTTCCGTATTTTTTTAAGGCGTAATACTTCCGTATAAAGTATATGCAAGAGATAAAACTTCACAGTATTCCAAAATGTCACAATAATAATAATAATAATATAGTATAATGAAGCGCTACAGTTAATTTTCTTTTTTTATTTTTTTTTCCTGTTTTAAATAACAAATACAAGTCACAGGTAAATATACGTGAGAAAAATACGAGGCTAATATTAAATGGCAGGTAAGGATACTCTCACTGTAAGAAAAAACTGGCAGGATGTGTGTATTTATTCTATATTTTAAAGCACTTGATAGAAAAGGCGTATGCAAGGTTTTTTTTTTTTTAACAATTTTCTATTTGCTTGTTTTTGATAACTGATATACCATTTACAGAGTATAATGAGAGAAAAAAAAGGAACTTAACCCCTCAAAACTTTTGACCTGCTCTTCACATCGTCACAAACCATGTTTCTTGAGAGATGCCTGTACAGCGGGGGTGTGTGTGTGTGTGTGTGCAGGCAGCAGTGCGTGCTCGGGGTGGAGGGGGTGTGTGTGGGTGGGCATCCAACAGACATGTATGACCACGGCAAGGTGTCTCGGCACCTGCAGAGACCCATCTCCTGCAGATACCCATCCCTGCCACTCCTGTGCCAAATCCTCAAGTCTCAATGTTGGCAAGCCGGTGTCCGAGGTCGTCATCATTGGCTGCCTGCATAAAGACCTCAGGATTTAAGCCTGGACGCAGTTTCCCATTCACTCAGCATCTGTTGGCTGCTGGGAATTTCTTTTGTCCCCCAAGAAAAAATGTCCAATTTTTATCTTCCAGATCCGCACACAAGAAGTGTGTGCTCTCCCTTCCACCATTTAGCAACGAATTTCCACCTGGGTCCAAGGCAGCGCCGCAAGGAATGGGAATGAGTCTGGATGCCCCCTCCGTGTGCAAGGCTGGCGCCCATGTGAGTGTGCAGCGCTGCAGCCCCCACCCAGCCATCCCTGCACCCCACACGCTCCGTGCCCATGCCAACAGCCAGCCACTCGGCCCACGGGAACAAAAAGACAGCAGATAGCATTAACACATCAGTAAGGTGCTCAAAGAAAAAAAGGCGGCTCCCACTCCTGGAATGGGCAGCCACATAAGGTGCTTCAAAAAAGTTTTTTTTTTTTAAATTTTTTTTTTTTTTTAATTTTTCTTTCAGTTTCAGACATTTTTAAAAAAGGACTGATTGAGCATGTGGTACGTGAGAGCAAGGCCGAGAGTTTTGAGACTTCTGACATCCTCCATAAACAAGAGCTTCCTCAGGCCAGGATACATTTTTATTTGTTTACTTTGTTTTTGTTATCATTGTGGCAGATTAGTTTAGATGGAATTTTATTTTCATATAAACCAAAAAAAAAAAAAAAAAAGGGTAACAAATCAACCCAATGTGAGAATTAGCATAAAAGTCAAACTGTGTTATTGGGCTGAGTTTTTGTTTTTGTCTTTTTTTTTTTTTTTTTTGCCCATTCATTCATTTAGCACCGTTCCTTTTTATTCTGGTTACAACCCAATTCCTTCTGTAATTATTGAATGTACAGAAAGGACCAAGTAGTTGTGTTTGTTTTTTGTGATCTGTTTCAAGAGCCCAACCGTAATTCCTCTGCTGCTGCTGTGTTTGTGTATCATCTGGTTTCATGAGCTTAAGGAGAAAGGTTAGTCTGTTGATATTTAAGGTTGACGTGTGTGTGTTTGTATGCATACACATTGTTCTATACATACACACTGTATGGAGTACATTTTAACTGGAGATAAAGTCAACTGGGTTCAAACACATATGCACTATCTTCTCCTATGTATTTGAAACAGTCTGGAGCTTTGATTTGATTTTTTTTAATTTAAAGTGCATTTAAAGCAAAATAACTGGCATTCACATACCCCATGGAAAACATGATTGCAGTGGAAAGCTTGACTATGCTAAACTCCTTGGACTTGACAACACTAAAAGCAAATGGGGCAGTGACAGGCCTCAGTGTAGGCAGCTATTATTGGGCAGCACCATTGGCAAAGAGGGAAGGCAGGAGGTGGTGGAAGGGAAATTGCTTTGCAGGTTGAATACTTGAACTGTTTTCAATTCTGACACAGCTGTGTCATTCCCAATACAGCTTTCTTTACAGTGATTAATGACCTCTGTCTTATGGATGTATACATCTGACTCTCCCTAGTTCTGTCTTTCATCGTGTGTCCCAAGTGCCAGCATCTATTAGGAATAAGGCACTGTTGAAATTACAGTTTTACAAAAGATGCAAAATAATCCAACCCTAACAATCCTGATTGCCCACACTGCTCTCCTCCTCCTCCCTCCCTTTTTTTTTTTTTTGGGGGGGGGGAAATATTGCATGTGACAGGAGTTTATTTTTATGTTCTCTGTGTCAAAATAGGCCTTGGACAAATGCTTTAAGTCCATCAGCACCAAAGATGGGTAGGACTACACCCTTTCTCTTGTAAGTATGTGAACACATGCAGACTTGTTAACTGGGAGGGGGGAAATAAATACACCGTTCCCCTGTCGCTCCTCCCTGGCTTTAGAGCCCAACCTAAAGAATAAATTTCCAATCCTCCATCTGCAGCATTTTCATTTACTGGATCATTTATGGAAGCAATTGAGGGATTTTTCATTCCCACCAGTCAGGTGCTACAGGTTTTGCAGGTGGATTTCTGAAAGGCTAAGCTCCAGGAAAGTCTGTGTGGAGCTTCCTGATCTGCAGAAAAACAGCAGGGGCAGGTGTCCACCCTTGTGCTTGCCTGACAGACAGACACCTCTCAGGGGCTGCTTTGTGCTGATTCTTAAAATCAGAAAAGCTTCTACAGCACATCTCACTCCTCCATGGAGTCAGGGACACTGACTGTGCAGTGGGCAAGCCTGTAGAGAAGCTGGGAGGCAGTTGGGTCCCTGTCTTTGCCCAAAAGCAGCTGTGGATTGCAAGCTGCTTTTCCATTGTCCCAGTGCACTCTTTTTGCTCCATGGTTTTTGATCTGGGAACAAGCCACGTTCCAGCAACTGGGTAGGGTTTATTTGCCCTAAAACCACTGCAGTCAGCCTACCATAATACGCATTTGCTGTGGTAGCTGGTATATCCTTCTCCTGCTACAAGGCTGAAAACGATCCATGAACTACTTTCCCTGAGCCAGGATCCCACTGGCTCCTCTCACCTTCCACCAAAGGCTAGGGCTGCCTTGTAAAGCAGAGAATATAGTAGAAAATGAGAAAAGCAAGCAGACAGTAGGGGAATAGCAAACAAAACATGAGACCAGACAGTCTAGCATTTAAGCTCTAGGCTAGTCAGTTTAGCCACCATCATTAAAATGGACTGAGATTAAAGGAGTCTAAACTGCTATGGACTGGGTTTTTAGAAGTGACACAAACCTTGGGCGGGAAATGAGTTGCCTTTTTTTCTTTTAGTGGTTTAAAAGTCATCTCAGTAAGGCCACAAACTGCATTTGTCTTGTCAATGTGACTGCTTGCAAATGGCATGAATTGAAATTGAGTGAGTGCTTCACAAAGCTAGGATAGAAATGGGAGAGAAGAACCACCCCACCATGCTCACTACGGCTGCACTGTAGGAGAGAGGAGTGTCTGAGGAGGTGGTGGTGAAGGGTGTCTCCTTGGGAAGACCTGCTACGTGTGGAAAGGGAAAGGAGCTAATAGCATCTCCCTTGCTCCTCTTCCTTTCACCACCACCTGTGTTGCTGGACACCTATAGACAAGTAGCACTTCTGAAGAGCCCCCTCCTGTGTCTCTCATATGTGTAAGTTGGGGAAGGAAAGGAGGCTGGTATAATTACAAAAGGGGAAAAGAAGGCACATGATTTTACTCAGTCCTGACTGAACCCACATTTTGAAAGCAAGGGCAGTTTAGGTGGAGGGCAAAAAAGTGCTCAGTGGAGCAGGTGCTCACTGAGAAGAAACCTCAGGGTAAAGGAAGAGGGAGAATAAAAAGGAAAGGCAGGAGAAATGAAGGCCACATTCAGCTTTCTGTCTGCTTGACAGTCTCAAGATTTGGCTGCATTATTGTCCAGGAAGGAAAAGAGTCTGGTTGGTTTTGAATGTAGCCCAGTTACATATCTCCAGTTTTTGTTACGGCTGTTGGTGTCTTCCTCCTTCCCTTTTCTCCAGTCCCAGAAGTACCTGGAGCACTGCTTTTAAGTCTTTTAAGCCTGTTCTTCAAACATGGAGAACACGGCACACCTCTTTGGTCACCCTCAGCCTCTACTTCTCCTCAAATCCAGTCCAGTGATCAAACTGAGTAGTGCTCCCGGCTGGTCACTCCCACTGCTGGGGTGCCAAAAAAAGGCTTTGATCAGCAACTGAAAGTCATCCTCATGGTTTCAGTTGGGTTAGTTGTGTTGGTCACAAAAGCCACTGGCAGGATGAGGGCAAACCAAGGGAGCTGTTGACTGAGAAACCGAGATGTCATTTACAGAGGTCATTATGATCATCATGTCTCTCAGTCACTTAACCCCTTGTGCACTGCCACATCTCAGTACCACGATTTTTCTTTCTCCTCCAGTGACTGTAAGTCTTTTTCATTTCTGTAGTAGATGGGAGAAGAAGCAGGGCTGATGGTCCAGCTTTGGGATTCCAAAACACTGTTTTTCCCCCAACTCTCTGACACAAAAAGGCATTTAGTTTCTCTTTCCTCCTCCCACCATCCCCTCCAAATTTGCTCAGGAAATCATAAGGCAGAGTAACGAGAAGGAGGATCATCAACAGCTCTATGAAGACACAGGGTGGTAAAATGCTTCCCTACAAACTCACAGTCCAGTGTTTGTGACATTTCATAAATAACTTTTTCTTAAAAAAAAAAAAAAGAATAACACAAGAACAATCCCTTTACTTACTCATCTGAAACAAAATAAACAGCAGTGGCTACAAACTTCTTCTTGTAACAATTACAAAAAAACTCCCAACAATACAATCCCCCAACTTTTAACACACGCCTTGAATTTTTTTTTTTTTTTTTTTTTAACGTTAAACCTCAAAACTGCAGCATATCCTTAAGGGCAAACTTTTCAATTAGTTTTTTCTTTCTTTTCTTTTTTTTTTTTAAATAATGTGTTCACCAAAAAGAAAAAAAATTCCACAAAACAGTCTTGTACCAAGAAAATGCATTCAAAAATAGAAAATACTACACAACAAAAATATGTACCCTTCCTTTCCAAAAGAGTCTTCACAAAAATGTAGAAAAATGCCAACCATTTTTTTCCTTTCCTGAACACTTAACTTTCAACCTAGGGCACAATTATTTATTGACTTATAATGTCTGTTTTTGCATAAAATATGGAAGATAAAAACCAACTATCAGGACTGTGAAGTTACAAACAACACCTCATTATTCTCCCCGCCCCACATTCCCTCCTTAGAAAACAAAACAGAGAAAGCCAATGTTTCAACAACTGATTGAAAGCTGTCAGGCTAGGAAAACCCATCAGCTGATATGGGGATTCAAAGACAATGGCATAACAGGAAAATCATCTGTCTTTTAAAATGTATGCTTTTTGCATTTATCATCTCAACACGAGTCTCTGCCCCGCTGTACTCAAATGACCAGGCACTATGGAGACAGGACACTGCTGGGCCAGCAAGATCCGGGAAGAATTTGGGGTGAGGAGCCCAGGGTGTGTGGGCGTGTGTACGCATTTGCACACGTGATGTTTTACTCACAAAGGAACTGCTGCCATTTTGAAAGACAGAGAGGATGTTTCCATATGCCTTAAAAGTGCAAGGGCCATTTCTGGATCATAGTAGTTAAATATGCAAAAGTTTTACTACGCTTAATAGTCAAGTCCATTTTTCTGGCCAAGGCAAGCCAGAGCTAGATCACATCAGTTCACATCTGGGAGTGGGTAACAGCTGAAAGCTGGTAGGCAAGAAGTGTCACACCAAGGTGCATCCAGAACTGATTTATTCAGTGGGAAAGTGTTTTGCCTACCTTGAAAAATGTTCAAGGGATTTTATGTGATTAACACAGCCGAAAGACCAACTGTTCTGACAGCAATAAAATCTAGCAGTGGGGGCTTAGGTACTATAGGGAAGGCAGCTGTATCTTGCACGCATGTGGCTAAATCCATCCTTTGGGTACCTCCTTTGACTTCACTACAATTACATCTGCTTGCACCAGGGATGAATTTGCCCCATGTGGTTCTGGATTTTATGACTGTCGGCCATTTAGGAGCCCAACCCTGCAGAATACTGTGCTAAAATACTCCAGATTGCAGAGCTAGGATCAAAGAGGCTTCTCTCTTCTTCTGTTTGAGAATATTTGTTTTCTTTCTAGCATATATTTTAAAGGATGCTTCCATAACAAGAAAGAAGAGGGGAGCTTTTTCTTAGCCTTTTCCACTGCGTGGCTGTGTGTTTTCCTTTTTTTTTCAAATGGCAAAATGTGTTTGTGTTTACTTCCAGTGCATTTTTTCTCAAAAATTCAAAACAAAAAGGAAAGATTACTTTTCCCATCCTTCAAAAGGAAACAAAACCAAAACAGACTGATAAAGTACAATACAATAAAAATCAGGCATTATAAAAGACAACATGATGTGCAACAGCAATACCAAAGAAACAAAAATAAAATATATATATATTAGGATACAAGTACAAATGAACCAAGAAAGCTATCTAACCCCACTACTGGATGATTGGTAAGCATTGGTTAAGAAATACGTAAGGCTATTCTGAGATTTCTAACTTAACATAGTTAACCACTGCTTCTCCTCTCACACCTTCACTTCCTAAATTTTTCACCTTTCATTCACTGGTCTTTTATGTCTTGAAACTGATTTTTTTCCTTTTCGTATTTTTTGGTCTACAGTAGAATTACATGTTAATAACAACAGCAAAACAAAACTCAAGCTTGTTGTGAGAGTAAGTTGGTGCCACATCCATGATGCAGAAGAAAGAAGACAGACAACAGAACAACTGCATTCAGCTTTTCACACACAAAGCATATTTGAGGGCAACAACATAGTTGACCAAAACAAGTTTGGAGGGGCAAGCAGCAGAAGCTGTAGGTTTATAACTACACTATCAACCAGAGCCTGGTCTTTTGCCTTTACCAATGTCCTTGAGGACAACAGTAGCTCAGTTGCCATGTGGCTTTGCCATTCTTGTCATCTGGAGCAACAGCTGACCTGTTATCTACTTCACCACTAAATGCACACCTGGTTCAATGGAAAACCAAAAGGAAAAGAAAAGGGTAAAAGGCTCCTAGCTGGGGCCAAGGCTATCTCTTGGTCACCTTGGCTGATGCGACAAATCCCCAGCCAGGTGTGATACTAGGATCAATGAGGGAGGAGAGCACCTGGCTGGCAAGCCATTTGGGAGCAATCTTGAAGCAAATTCAGACTGTCTAAGGTGATGCGACAGATTGCTTAGTCTCCTCCATTAGGGAAGTGTGAACACTGACAGGTTACTCTGGGATCATTCTGTTAGTATAAATTCTCTTAGTTCAGCAGGGATGAGAAAGCATACATTCTCTACAGCTTTCAAATTGCCTTTGTAAATGTCAGCATCACCAGCCACCAGAAATGCATTCCCTAAAAACTTGGCTACAGCCCTGTGACTGAAGCTCCATCCTGATTCTTGGCATTTTCTTTTTTCTGTGGAACTTCTGAAATATAATTTTTTCCTCAAGGGTAAGCTCTGAAATTACCATAATGTTGAAAATATCATTAGCATCTTCTTGAACCATAACTACGCCACAGTCCCAGCAAAATCTCAAGCTGATCCTCAGTAGTGCTTGCCATTGTCAAGGAAAGGAACGTACAGAAACAAGATGATCAAACAGTACGGGAGAGTTCCGTTTTGGATCTAGCCTACTGGCCAAAGGGATTTTCATTCAAGAGAAAAGGTGCAACAATGAAGCAGGATGACAAATGGAGGGGAATTATGGAAGTTAGTGTTTCTCCATCTGGAGAAAAAATAGGGCATTAGGTTATGCGGCATCTCTAGTCAGCAACCTATGTTTTGGCTTCTTAAAATAAACCTCAAGTTATCCTTGGTTTCTCTGTCAAGCACTGTCTACGTGGGGCTTTAGTACCATGCTGAAATAAAGGAAAGGAGTTTGTGCTATATTTAAATGCAGTTCCAGTTAAACTAGTTTCAAACTGACCATGAAAAAAGGAACAACTGATTTAAAAGCCTTTAAAACTATACAATCACACTTAGGCCCAAGAACTGGTCTGTTCGAGCACTGAACTGAGTGGAAACATAAACTGGAATCTAGCTTTTAAAAAAGGTTTTAATTCCTGTTTACATGGACAAGACTAGTTTTTTTGAAACTGAGTCAGCTGGAATCAGGTTTAAACAGGCTGAATTCAAACCAGGATTTGGAGCACGGCTTAAAGCACACTTCTTCAGATTGCAGTACTTAAAAAAAACTAGTGCAAATGACATCTTATCACAGCATTGCAAACTTGCAGTGTTCCTCTCCCTGTCCAAATAGGGTTGCCATCAGGTCACACCACAAGGGAGGAATACGCAGCAATCAGTCAGCCAGAACAGCTCAAACTACAGAAGTTCTTCATTTTACCACAGCAGGAAAGGCACTCTGGACACAGCAGGCTCAGTAAACCCTCAGCTTCACTTTTTTTCTGGAGCAGTCCACTACTCCTCTTTGACAATTCAAATCCACTCTGACAGTAGCAATATATGCAGCTGCCTTAAACAAGGAAATAAAACAAAAACTCACCTAAACAACAAACAGGTGTATTGGCTCATAACGTGAATTAACTTCAGCAGACTGATTTCAATTCCTCCCATATCATGACTGTAGCTGTCACTAGTCTTATGGAAGCAAATGCCACTTTACAAAACAAAGGTGCTCTCCTGCCACTCTATTATGCTGGCTCTCAAATGAACTGTGCTTTTGTTGGACATCTACTGACTCATTACTGGAAGTTGATCTTCCAGTGGTTTTCATCTTAAAGGGTTCCTGTAGATGGCAAAGATAGAGAGTGTATGTTCCAGTGCCCTGTTTGCTTTCAAGGGAAGAGTCATTCAGTAGTTCATCTAACAGTACATCAGGGGATATCTCCAGTTGTTCTCTTCCATTCCTTTCAAACCAGAATGGCTGAAATCGAAGAGTGAAAATCTCAGAGCTCACCAGAAAAACACATCCTTAACTCCAAAGTGTCTCCTGGCTTCAGACAGACTTGTTCCTTCCCACCTAGCACCGCCTCTTGTATACCACTCCTCTTCTAGTTCTTGACACTTTTCTCAAATGAGGCAGCCCAACAGACTGATCATCAACAATCTGCTTTGCATTGTGCAGCTCTGTGAAAGGTCTGAACTACCCATTTCTCTGTGCTAATGAAGCCAAAATATCTTAGCTTCAAGTTTAAGGATAAATTCAGGGCATAAATAAATTTCTAGTCCCCCAATTATTCTAGACCTCCCTCAGCAATTGGATGACTACCTCCTCTTTTTTGTCCATGAAACCTCTTTGTACATTAGACAGATGGTCTCTCCACTACAGGACCAAAGCAAATACACTCATGTTTTACATTCTTGTCCCAGTTGCTATACAGAGCATTTTTCATGATCCTGTTTTACCATCTGGCTGAAGTTGCTATTACAGTCTTACTGAAGAGATTCAACACAAACTTTTGAGAGTTTATAGATCACAAAGAGCTACAGCAGAGATGAATCTTGCTGCACATTACTACTGTTTTAGTTTTTCTCATATTATGCTTGTTACAAAATTAATGACCAAGGCATAGGCCAACATGCATCTTGACTGCAACAGTATTTTTAAACTTAGGATTCCATTTGGCTCCAGCTGAAAGCCTTCACAATGCTAGGCTATCCATTTAAGAAGACAAATCAGAGAGAAGCTCTTAAAATGCTAGACAGCATCTTTGCCTAAGCAGGAATATTTATGTACTGAATTCCACACCACCCTTTCTTGCCCAAATGTCCCTCCTGCTTCCTCTTACCCCAAAGGTTTGACTGGAACACTTGTAATTGTGTGTTCAGGATGACTGTTTATTGCACTGTTCCCATAACAGCCTCAGAAAGACGTGCTTTTTTTCCAGTGACCTTCCCCTTTGGTAAGTCTGCTTTGTGGCTTAAATTCTTGAGCTGAGAGATCATGTTTATACTGAAGGGATGCTAATCACAGTCAAACCTCTTGAAGAGATTCTATCCGACAATGCAAGTTTTGACATCTGAACTAGGAATCAGTATCTTTATGTTGAAGCCTTACCAAATGAGCAGTTCTCTGAACTTTCTCACAGCCCCAAAGAACAGTCTCTAGAGAAAGGGGGAAAAAGATCTGTAGCACCCTGAAACCTGTGATGCCTCTTCAGTTTCTATTATAGTGCTTTACTTTTATTTTAAGAGAAGGTATCTAATAGAGCTGTCTCAGTGTCTGACTAGTTGCTTAAATAAAGGTTACCCTAGTTCTTTTTCAACCTGGTCAGGTTTATGATATATCCTGTTTTCTGTGCCTATCCCTTTCTCTTCTCCCTTCCTGCTTAATTGGCCCCTTCCAATCCCACCACGTGTAAATACATTTCAGTAGTGCAATGCAGTGCAGTGCAGTCATACTTAGTGCAAAAATAAAAAGCCTTATCCAGACCAAAAAAGCACAGACTCCCACCCCACCCAGCCCCCAAGAAATCAGCACTCAGTAAAAGTATACGAATGCCCCAAAACAAAGGGGGATTTGCAGTCTCCCAGCCACACTTTCACATGCCTCATTTTCTCTCCTCCCACTCGATGTGGAGATCTCATTAGCAGATAGGACATTTACTGAAAACACAATAAGTCAAATGACAGAAATCAGAAAGGAGACAAGCCATTGTTGGGGGGCTGCAGAAATAAGAGAAAACTAAATGAATACAGCAAAAAGGTCAGTAGTGGTTTTACATAAAGTTGTTGGATGCAAACTTTGCAAGGGCACACCTTGCAAAGGGCATGTAGAAGTGTGGATAAAAAAACAAAGAAGCTTCCCTGTTCCAAATATACAGTCCCTATTTTAACAGTGCCCAAGCTAAGGTTCTGTAGTGCAATCAACTTTTGAAGCTTTCTGTGGCCACCCTAAAACAAATGGACTGATCAACATTAACTTCAGTTCTCTCCTGCTCATGCAGGCACACCTGTGCACAAACAACACCTTCCTCCATCCTGCAAATACTTGAGGATATATGTGAAGTATTTCTTTCATGGCCCACCTAGGGCTATGGTGGGAAAAGCAGGAATTTTGATGATAGGTGTTTAAGCTCTTAAGTACCTTAAAATGAAGACACATAAGAAAAACAAAATAAAGCTCACTAATTACAAAAGGCAAGCAGTTACTGAGTCCCAATCAGCCCATACCTCCCCTAGCCCATCTATGTCTTTTAACAAAATAAAACATCTGCCAGGGCTCGCCACCTGTTAAGATAACACTTGGGAAAACAATACAAAGACTTTGGGGTATTCACTGGTTTGGAGGTTATAATTTCAGTTTGGACAGCCACAAGAGCCTCCATCAAACCCTCTTAACTACTAGAAAGGAGTATGGGGAACCACTAAAACAGTGTAAGAGGCCACAAGGAAGAGCAAGAAAGGGAAATGAATGAAAAATGGAACACACTAGGACAATACTGCTGCTGTTAGACTAATCTCAATGTACTTGCTCAGTGTACAGAGGAATACTACATGCTGGTTCATTTAGGCTTAAGCACATGCTTCCTCTTTCCTTCTGCCACTTCTCTCACTCCCAGTCCCTTACTGAAGATGTTAGCCCACCCCAGCATGTAAAAAAAAGCAAATACCAAAAGATAAACCAAATTATAACCAGGAAGCAGGCTTCTCCTTTTTCTTTCTCTTGCAAAGATACAAGCCTTGCCTGCAGGCAGATACACTCTGTTTAATCCCAGTGGAGAAAAGCGTTTCACATGCACAGAAATAAGGAAAGAACCTAAAAGAAGAAAACTAAGTAGAGGTGCAGGGATCCTGAATACCCACCTCAAAACCAGAAAAATGCCAGGCTTTAAAGACTTTTGCAGTTTATCTTTACCAGTGAGCTTTAATGAAAAACAAAGACAGCACAATGGAATCCGTAGCCGTGGCAAAGGGAAAGGACCTAAACCCACTCTCTCAGGGTGCAGAGCTACAGTGGTGCACCCCATGCCTGAGCATACATGAGACAAAATGAATAACACTTGTCAGCTCTTTTGTAAAGCCTATCAACACCAATCTAGCCAGTATAATCAGCAGTAATGAATTTTCATGCTATTCAGCTGTGTGTACTTTGAGGAGGTCCTACCTGTTTGTCGAAATGCTGCTCACATTACAAATTCTCCTGCATACCCAGTGCAGTAGCACTTACTAAAAAAAAGGTCCACCAAACAGCTTCATGTATTGAATTGAATTTGGGGTTATATAATCAGATCTTACAAAGAAACAACTTTATTTTACCCACATGAATTTGTGACCATCACAACAGAAAAGTTATGGCCAAAGTGCTTCTGGGTAAAGCAGTCAGAAACCTGGAATCAAGAAACTCCAAATATCCAAATACTCAAATGATTTTACATTGTTCTGGCAATAGAAAAGGGACACAGCAAGGGTGTAAATCAGGGAAAAGGTACTGCAGTGAATCATATGTCTACACTAGCTGTTGTGGCTCACTATTTAATTATTTAAGATAAACATGCTATCACCAATCAATCAAACCCAAAGAAAGACTCAAGGTTATTTAGGATTCTCTGAACAAAACAAAATAAAACAAAAAATTCCATGTTTTGTTCAAATGGAAGCAACCTTCCTGCTCTATACAGTTCTTGTAAATTAAGTCTCCCAGCAAGGAGAGACTATATAATCACAGAGCCCTTAATACAGGCAAAATCTGCCTGGTGGAGTGAAATCAAATCTTGAGTCAGTTTTATGAAGAGTACAAACTTTGGGTAGAAACATGCTAAATTATGGGGAACAATCCCATGGCATCTTAAAGCGTGTATATGAAACTAGGACTACACATACTTTTCCTGTCAGAGAAAATGGATTGAAGTCAACAAAAGAGCATGTGAGTCCTGCCTGCAGAATTTGGCCCACGGAGTATTGGTCCAATCAATTTTCAGGATAAAGCATAGATCTCACTGATGCTGACAAGAAAGGTCATGGAGTACATCCTGCCTCAACTGAGCAGCCTATTTATATTATGTTTGACAAACAAAAGCTCATTATGAGTGGAGTGTATGGGAAATCACCAATTTTCTGCTTCATTTCATTATAAGAATTTCTTTGAACCTGAACTGTGGAGCAAGAATCTAGGGAACTGATTGTTCAGAACATATGAAACTGGGAATAAATTCCAGACTTAAAGGACCTCTATCAGTCTGACAGCAGACCAAGCTACATCCTGGCATTAGGACAAAGAAAAACCTTGAAAGACAATTAAACTTGTTGAAGATACTTGTGAAAAAGTAGTTCTGGTTCTAATAAAGGAAAGAATGACACTTCTTCCACTAATAAATAGAAACTGTATTTTTTTTACAAATTATTCATACATTTAAAAAAAAAAAAAAAAAGCAGCAGATACTGGGGATTCAGTCTTTTCCTCTAAGTGGCACAAGTGAAGAGCAAGTCCCTTGTATGGAGTTCAAGCATCCCCCTCTCTTGGGAGGTCCCCTATCTTTGGTGCAAGCATCCCCAAAGTGGGGGACTCTCCTCTCATTCAACCTTGCAGTGAAAAGCTTTAAAATCCCTTTCTGTCCGGGCACAGTAGAACAGAGCAACATTTTCTTAGTACAAGGTTCTCCCTCTTGTGGTGACAGTGTTACCTACTTCAACCGCTGTGTTCCTCAAAAGCTGTATAAAACAGAAAAGAAGTGCAAAAAGGAGCTGAGTATAAATGCTGTCGACCACAGAAACGTGTGACCATTGCCTGCATTAGCCCTAGAGGTCTACTTGGTCAACCAAGGAGGAGATGGAAAACGAAAGCAATAATGAAAACCATACACTAGAATAAAGCTAATATTTGGACAGTCTTTCCTTGATGTTTATATCATTCAAGAAAAGCAGCCACCACAAGAATCTATAAACTGTAAAGTTGATATCACCTTCTATTTCCTCTCTCCTTAAAAAGCAGAAAATATGCACATATGAAACCAGTTTCTTAGAAAATCACAATTATTAAGATTAGTATTTCTTCAGAGAATGAAAAAGAAAGGATATATGTTCATAAAAAGCAAGATTTCTGGACTCACAAATGACTGACTGTCTTTTATGTAAAAGATATGTTAAAATAGTGTTCACCAGCTGATTATTTTGTTAGTTTCACTTTCCTTTAGGCAATTGTATCTGTACACACTGCGTTCTAAAAGTACAATCTCTAGTGTGGATAATCTACCTGTTTGGTACCATCCTGTTTGTAAAACCACTTCTTAGCCTAAAAATATAAACTGTAAACTGTATAACATGCAAAATGAATTGAGGTGTTTAAAAAAAGCATTAGGAAAAATAAAAGGCAACAAAGAAGTTAAATCAAGAAACACATTAAACTAGTAATTATGCTAAATGAATTACTGAACCTTACAAAGGATTAGCAGGGCAAGTGTGGAATGGGTATGCAGCCATTTAAATGATCTGGCATTCTCAGTCAAGTGAGAACACTTTCTAAAAAAATATGTATGATTCAGCATTCAGTCAAAGGAAAAGGTAAAGAGCATGGTCAGAAAATGTGGACCTCTGAATCAGCACTCTGTTGCAGCAGCTAAATGGAATTAATTTGGGAAATGGCACCTGTTCGGTTTAATGGGGCAATGCCCATCCTTCATGTAGTAGGGTAATCTAGTTTTGTTACCTGCATAATTAATATTGAGAAGATAGTTTCCTCCTTCCTTTACAAATGGGTATACACAGAGTAAAGTAAAGCCAGACTTAGAAATCACTGCTGGAAGACCATAACTTTTAAACTGCAAGTAGAAAGAATAAGAACGTGGCCTCCACATAAGTGCAAATGGCAGGAGTCTGTAAGGAATGCTGGCACTTGACGATTCCCATGCTTGAAGTTCTGATTGTAATACCCCGAGATGTGGCATAGGTAACTCCTTCCCTCTCTTCTCACTCCAAAATAACTATTTATTTGCAGAGACATGGATTTGCTCATTTTCGGTGAAAGCACAGTTTGTAATTGATGTGACCATCTCTCATTTCTTCCAGTCTTCACAGTTAGGAGAAATGAGATATAATGAATACCTCCTCCACAACCCTCATCCACTTGGCTTTGCACATTTTCATTTAGAAGTGATATCAACCAGAGGAGTAAAGGTCAGCTGAGATGTACCTGAATTAGAAAAGCAAACATAAATTCCCATGCTCTCATAAGTTTGCATTCTCACTAATTTTGAATCAAGACTTTCTGCCTGGGACATCTGTTTTGCAAGATGAGAATACAAAAAGGACACAAAGAGCCATGAGGCTTGGGTGTCAATCAGCTTTCCCTGGGCTACTTGGATCTAGATGTTGACATATCCCTCCCTAGTGACATTTTTTTCAACAGCTCTGTGGTGACAATTAAAATCCAGTGGGACTGACACAAAATTCAGTCCCAGTAGGAATGTCCTATGAAGATGGTAAAAGGAACACTCACCCTGAAAAACTTA